CTCTATTAAACTCACACTAACGAAAATATAAAACAATATTTTAATAAATAAATGACCAAATACCCTGAAAATTCAAGGGGTATTTTGGTCATTATATTTATCAAAAAATTATTATTATTACTTTTTTTATAGGTGCTCCCCAATGAGAAGATGGCACGTACCAAATTTCATATTAAAAAAAATGTATTAAAAAAACTAAAAATAAAATACTTTGAAATATCGGATCTATGGTCAACCGGTGAGTGGCTCTCTTGATAAAAAATGGACGGTTGGATGGTAGGAGGAGGATAGAACTTCTATATTGTCGGAGAACATAGAAAACTTTCCCAGCAAATGTTGATCAGTTGGGGGATTGCTAGCATAATGTAGGGGGAGGATAGAACTTCTATGCTCCAGTGGTTTAAAAAAAGGATCCGCGACTCGAATTGGGCACCCCAAAAATTGGTCCATATCAGTGAATCAACAGACTTGATTGTCATTTTACTATATAGAAAAAAAGTGTACCAGCAAAAAAACACATGAAAAAACAGTGTACCGGCCAAAAACTGGTTTGGATCAATGAATCAGCGGTTCGAATTGTCAGGATCGTTGTTTTATTGTGCAAAACTGCCGGTTCACGTCTAGATTTAACCTTTTCCCTATATATACGTAGAACTTGAATTAGATGACCGATTCTCAAGTCGGACCGGGTGATTCTATGTCGATCCAACGTCTTTTAAATCACTGCCTTGAAGTAATGAGGACTACCTACCCAAAGAATAGCAATACTTATGGATAATTTAGGAAGTAAATGGCTATCCAACTATTTGAGGTTGGCTAAGAATCATGTGAATTATAAGACATAAACACTATGGTTATTGGATAAATTATGAATTAAATATCCAATTTTGAACAAATTTGTAGAAAAATTAGCATATATAAGGTTTAGCAGTCAAATGTCAAAATAAACAAATAAATATAAACAATCCCCATCTCAAAAACCACTTTTTGAAGAGAGGGAAGGACCAGAAGGATCTCCAAATCATCTCCCAAATCCAAATTATGATCATCTAAATAAGATTTGATGTGATTTGTAATGCCCCAATAAAGGCTCCAAATCCTTGAGTTACAATGGCCATTAAAATGGGTGGTCTTCATCAGTTATTTGTTGGCAATAGATATGAAGCATATTTTAGCTCCAAGCCTTTTTCTCTCAAATAGATCGTATTAAAGGCCGCTTTCCCAAATAATATTTGGTTTGAAGCTCCCAAAAAGCTCCAAATTACTTATAGATCCAGTGCACGTCCAAATGGAGAACCCACATTTGGTATGGTAGTAGCCAATGTTCAAAAGAACGAACAGGCCGACTCGTCGGTCCTCGCCCGATTTGATCCGATTAGTCGGATCGATTCTAACTAAATCAGCTGATTAGTATTTGAATTTTTTTAAAAAAATGTAATTTCGGTAAAAAAATTTCAAAAAAGTTGTAAAAAATGTTTAAAATTTATATATATATTTTTTTATTATTGTTATATAATAAAAAAGCAAAACAAAAAATATTACAAGCATAATTGGGTTTAAGAGAAAAAATTTACGCACTTAAAGCAATACTTTTTTAATAAACTCGTAATTGACAGAGATTGTGTAATATTATGTTACACAGTGATAAAATTATTGCTCAACAGCAGTAGGATCGAGAAGCCGCTAGATGTTTTTTTGAATTTCACTATAAAGGTCGATATGAGAAAATTTGCCATAAAATCCAACACAGAGAAAGAGAGAGAGAAAGAAAACCCAAGAGAGAGTGCCAGAGATAAAAAGAGAGAGAGATTGGGGCCGGCCAGCCCCAATAGTTAGAGAGAGAAAGAGAGAGAACTAACAAAGAGAGTTAGAGAGAGGTTGGAGCAATCCCCTACCCGAGAGAGTAAGAGAGAGGGGGAGAGAGTGGTTAAGGCAGTCGTACCCCACCAGTTCTAGAGAGAGAATGGGACCCCGAGAGAGTAAGAGAGAGGGGGAGAGAGTGGTTAAGGCAGTCGTACCCCCACCAGTTCTAGAGAGAGAATGGGACCCCGAGAGAGTAAGAGAAAGGGAGAGAGAGTGGTTAAGGCAGTCGTACCCCACCAGTTCTAGAGAGAGAATGGGAGGGAGAGAGAGTGAGAGAGATATCTGCCCCATCAGTTAGAGAGAGAGATGTTAACAGAGCGAAAGAGAGAGGTTTGGGTAGGGACCTGCCCCAACCCAATATATACAGAGAGAGTTAAAAAACATCCTAATTGTCTTCACAAAACCAGTGTTCAAAAGTATACATCGTAACCGTACTAATCCGGTGATTTTTACAGCAAATTGCCGAGTAGTGCACCAATCGGCATGTTTGTGTCAATTAGTATATCGATTGGTACAATAAATCGGCCAATTAATGCATTGAAAGAGACTTTAGAATCTGGCCGATCCCGATTTAATCAATCAATTTTTTTAAAAAGTGGCCGATCTTTTGAACATTAGTACTAGCAATAGATTTGGAGCATTTTTAGGCTGCAAATATTGTTATTATTAAAGAGTTTTATTGAAACGCCTCTAAGAGATTAACTATGTAATTAAGGGTGTAGTTTGTATAAAGTTACAACTTTAAAAAATCAAATTAAGACGTATCTCCAAATTTTATCATAATATAGATTTAGTATAAAAGATTATTAGGATGATTTGAAAATCTATTTTTATCTCTAATTATAAAATCAAACCCCCAAAAATTGTTCAAATCAAGTAGATCTATAAACACTTGAAAATCTTGAAAATAGACGGTTGAGATAATGTGTTGCAAGATACACTGATTTTTAGGACTCGAAATCTTTTTTGTCTTCATATTCATGCATATCGATGCCGAAATGACCAATTAGAGGGTTTTTCGGTAAAAAAAAAGAATTTATGATGGTTTTTTTTTGTGCACCTTAATTCTATATTTTAATGTTGCAACCTTATATCTTCTAATTAATTAACTTTTTCTCATATAGTTTGATTTAATTTCAAAGTACCCATCGAAAAACAAAGGATCATTAGTTCGAATAGCGACATCTCTCACAGGTAATTTAATAAATTTCTCTTATTATTATTATTGTCATTATCATTATTCTTGTAGGATTGTATGCTATGAGACCATCCATCAGGAGGTCACAATTGATCTTAGCAATTAGATGTCTTATTAGATAGCTTGGGGTTTGTCATGAAATTCAAAAAAAAATTTGTTGGACTTTGAGCTTAGTCACAAGTACATTTATAATCATTTGATTTGAAATTTGACGGACAAAAATGGTTGTGACTTCTTTATACTAAAAATAAATAATTTATGTATATACTTTTTCTGTTCTTATTATTATCACCATCACCATTACCATCATCCTTCCTAAATTGTTTTTGGATAGAGACTGATGCGGAACATATTACCATCATCATCATCACTTAGGACATTGTTTTTTGAAAAGAGAGTGATGTGGAATATTTTTTTTTTTTTGTCTCTCATCCATCGCAAGAATGTTTTTTGAGGTGGATGAGCATAATAGTCAAATGGTCCTAAAAATAAACAAAATATATAGACGTTTTACTGTAGAATAGAAGAAAAATAAAAGTTTCACGGTAGAGAGAGGGAGAGAGCCTAAAGAGAGATGGAGACGGGGAGAGAGAGCCCAAAAGAGGAGAGAGAACAAGAGAAAAAAAATGGTGAGAGAGAGAGAGAGCCTTTTAAGCATTGGGGGAGAGATAAAGATGTAAGAAGAGAGAGTTCCTTGAGGGGTGTTAGGATGGAGCCAGGGCTTGTAAAGGTGCTCCTCACGGAAGGGCTGTGGGTTTTCACCCTTCTTCAGCCATGGGTAGAGAGAGATTGATGCAAGGGATTTAGAGAGAGAGCATTTGGGTTTGGGTTTTATTTATGGAAAATAGTTTGATAAGATTGTAACTCTATAAAAATAAGTAAAGCCTCACTTTATAACTCATCAAAAATTGCGTTGAAAAACTTTTAAATCAATCTCAAAAAACTTAAGATTTCAAAATCTTAAAAAAG